AGGTATTGAAAGAGCTCTCCGAGCAGAACGAGGCTTGCATGACATGCACGGCTTCAAATGGTAGCTTGCGAGCCGGGGGGTTTACAGGTTCAGGATCTTAGCAAGTGTATACGGTTTAGGGTTTAGGGGTTTGGGAGTTCTTAGTCCTCCAAGATGAAAGCCGGGTGGTAGGGAGGCTCATAAACCAAAGGGTCCTAAGTATTCACAAAAGAGGATACTTACCCAAACCAGATCTCCTACTATACAGGTTCTGAGGACGCCTTCGAGATTAGCTCTTGGAGCCTGAGCTTCGAACCTCGGCTCGTGCAACACGGAGACTGCCGGGCACAAGCCGGCGGAGGCAGTGACATAGAAGCCCTAACTCTGGTCTCTGCTTGGGGTGTAGGGTTTAAGCTTTAGGGTTTAGGGCTATCGGGTTTAGGGGTTTAAGGGTTAATTTGGGTTACTTAGGACCCAGGACATTTTGAACGACCCTACTCAGCTCTAAGTTTGCCTTCCAATCCTCCCGGGCTGCAGTCTTCGGGCGATCTACTGGTTTAGGGAACTAAATGAGAGCTTCAGAAACGAACCTACGCGAGGACCACAAACAAACCCAAACCCTCCAACCGTAAACCCTTTTTGTACACTCCCTCCACCGTCCCAATAAGGCATCCCTACCTTTACAAGAACGCAAGACAAACCCACCATAGGACCCCAATCCTAAATAAGTCCCCACAAATGAGGCACCTCCTCCTATTTCAACAAAAAAGTAAGACACAGGGCACAGTACCCCCTTGAGTAAGGAAGACACCCTAAACCATACGGTTTACGGCTCTGTGGGGAAGACAACCACCAACGCCGAGGGACTGCCCCAACTTTGCCAGGTCAATCAAGTGCCACTGAGTAAGGAACTGCCTTAGCTGGATCTTGAGATCGGATACCAAATCGTCTCAGGCTTAAGTGCGTACGTATGTATGTATGTCTGTATGTATGTGGGTATGCTTATATGTATAAATCTATATATATATATGTATGTATGTATGTATGACTGTATGGATGGATGGATGGATGGATGGATGGATGGATGGGTGTATTTATGTATGTATGGATATGTTTACTTGTGTATGTAAAGGGGTCACAGGGCTGTACGGCATATGGTGTAAGTACATGGGAAATGCATGTCAAGCCTAAAAGGCGTTCCCGGCCGTGTGCTCATGCAAACGAGGTGCATGTCGTCGGCGGACTCATCAAATCCCCAAGGTGTCTCCTTGTCAGGTCAAGAAAATGACCCAACAAAGGGTTGAAAGTGCAGGATTGACGAATTCAGGCCCAATGAATTTGCGTTACAGCCTCTGGTCTAGAACCTAAAACTGAGGTAGTGTTTGTTTTGTATGATTTTGTGACAGCATTTCGGAGAGCACCCGATGTCCTTGGCCCAGCTCAGAGCAGCATCATGCCTGTCGCAGGTAAGGAAGCAGTAGATGAGAAGGATTTGAAGGTTGGTGCTGTCAACCGAGGCAGAATTTGCGCGCCATGATGTGAGGAGGCAGCTTCGTGCCATCCAGCGGGGCAGTCACAAGGTTTTGACCACTGAAAGGGCCAACCGCTAACGAGCAATACACGATGTTCAGGATTTCTGACAAGTAAATCCAAAGGGCATAACCTCCCGCGGAGTGACGACGGTTTGATCTTGTTGATGGATGCCTGCTGAAAATGGTAGTGAGAATTGGCTGGAGGCCCCCGATTCCCGAACTCGAAAGCGCACGTAACAAAATCTTAAGTTTGAACAGCTTCGCTCACCAACAAATCCGAGATTGATCTTTCCGCCAGATCAACGGCCGCTTATCAGTTAGTGCCGGCACCTCGAACACACACACACACACACACCCGCGCGCGCACACACACACAATATCACGATACACAGCACACGGCTCTGCATTGGACCTTTTATCGCTCAAAGCACTTCAGCAGCCTTTTCGCACTCAATGCGGGTTCCTGCTTTTGAGATCTCTCTCCCGGAAGGACCTCGAAGAGGAAACCCAAACCCTACACAGTGCGATACCAGTATTTGTACGTCGAACCTTGAACCATAACCCATCAAAGCCTGGACAGACTCCTCTAGACCACGAAATGTGGTAAAAGCACGTAATCGGGCTGTGAAGTTCCTCGCACCGAGCTCTCAGGACTACCCTCGAAAGCCTTGCGATCCCATGCATCTGAAAAAATCCCTAAACCCTAAATTCTAAACCCGAAACACACCAAAGCAGCCTCACATGAGAAGCGAAGCCCCTGATGACCAGCAGGCTCTCACGGCGACCTGGAACCTGCACCCAAGGTTTAGGAATTACGGGGTTTAGGGTTTTTTCGGCCGAACTGAGCAAAGGCTGGGTTTTAGGGCTAGTTGGGTATTCTAAGATGCTTTTCGGTTGTGAGGTTCAAGTTTAGAGTTTGGTAGTGACAGGATACTGTATGGATGCTAAACGAGAACCTACAACAAGTACGAGCAGGATCTTGCGGATGATTGCTGTAGGGTTCCCAGTAGTTCGAGTAGAGTTTTGGCGGTATGTCCTACAGTAGTTATATGCGGACTACAAGGGTGAGTACTATTACGACATGTTCCGACCCCTATGTTATGCCAAACCCCCCTCTTCTTGGAAGAGTTGCCTGGAAGCTTCAGCCGAGGAGACAGGGAAAGGCCTTTCGCAGATCTGTGTCTTCAAGCTTTGTGAGGTCCGGGATTTCGTGTTGTGTTCGGCTGAGATGTTTAGGGCTTAGGGAGGTCTAGGAAAACTTCGGGGTTTGGGCGTTGGAGTTTGCAAAGGCCTGTTGCACTTCTGATGCAAGATTCAAAGGCAAAAGCCTATCGAGAAACCCCTAAACCCAAAGCCAGTAGTCCTTCAGCCCCCACATCCCAAGCTTGAAACCAATCGGGATCTCGGGCACCATCTTGCAATAATTGAAACCAAACCTAGATTATCAGATAGATAGATAGATAGATAGATAGAGAGAGGTGTGTGTGTATATATATATATACACAGACAAGTGTACATACATACGAACACACAAACGAGCACATAAACAGACAACCAAACAAGAAAAACAACAAACCAAAAATATCAACACATACAAACACAAAAGATCAAACAAAACAATCCAAACACCAAGCACGTGTACGTACATACAGACATACATACATAAATACATACATACATACATACATACATACATATAACATACCGCACATACATGCGTTGATAAACCCGCGAGCCCCAGACCTTGTCAGCCTCTCCTCCTCCCTGCCGGAACCTCGAAACGCTCGAAGCGAAGGCGGCCAGCAGAACCCAGCTTCACGCGCCGCGGGCGCCTGAGAAAGCGTGCTTCCGTAGCTTTCCGATGTAAACTCTTAGCCCTAAGCCGCCTAAAACCTACAATGGAGCAGCATTACAACAGCGAACCTGCCTGGTCGCCTGAAGCCGTCGACGCTTCTGCGCTGGACCCCGCAAGGGGAGCGCCGGGCTCATGAGCCGAGCAGCATCGAAGCAGATAGGGTGAAGGGTCGTCCGACAAAAGGGGTACTGTAAGGTTCCATGCTTTTGGGGGGCCCCTTAAAGGCGACTTTTTTGGTTCCAGAATAAGGTCCCCTTATGCGGGGCCTCTAAAGACTATAGAGGTGGGGTCCAGGGATCCCACTACTTAGAGTCAGTATTTGGGGTCACTTATAGTCTCTTCCGAGACTCCCATGATGTTCCGGGTGCTGCTGCCGTATATCTTGGCACGGTACCCCTTGCTGGCGTGGCTGCAGTATCGGTGGAAGATGGTGCTGCATCTGCTGGGGCCTAGAGCGGCTAGTGGTCTGAGAGCAAAGCCGACACTGAGCCGCCAATGCTCCATGATGAAAGCATGCATCAGTAAGGATGTCACGGAAAATGTCATCACAAAGGCTTTCTAGAAATTCTGGATTTTTCTTGTACTTCCAGATGCAGGCAGGCCTTAGGCCATCTTCGAACTGGAGTACTTGTTCTTGTTCCTGGACTCCTTGCTGGCGACCCAGCTCGGAAAACGCAAGTCAATAACTCCAGGAACCAGGCAAGATCACGCCACATCTTGGCCACTGTACATGCCAAGTGCCGCGAAAAGCAGCTAGGTGGCAAAACTACCGGTTACCCTAAACCCTAAACTCACGATGTGCAGCGCAACACACGCCGACCCGGCGCTCGCGCAATGGGAAGCACGTTCCGAGGTTGGGCAGGCGCGTGCCAGCCTCCAGGGACCATCGATGTCTGAACCCACAGACAGCCCAGGTACAGGAACGGCTTCGAAGGTTTTAGAGGACATATAATATGCGTAATATTTCGCACATTATATGCAACATCTATTTAAAACATAGCACACGCAACATACCATATACAGGATAAAAGATGTAACATATGGCAAGTAGCTTCAGGCCTCCAGCCTAATGGGCAAAGCTCAGAGCCCTACCAAATCCATGAAAACCTCAACCTACAATTTCCGACTCTTAAACCCTAAGCCTTGAACTCTAAACCCTTGAGCCGTCACAGAACCTGCAAGAAACCCCGCCATGGTTGCGCTGCAGTGGAGCGACGACTCCGTAAAGCGGGGCTGATCAGCGTTGCGCTCAACCCTCAACCCTATACAACCCTATACACCCTAAAGACTATACCCGCAAAAAATACATGCTACAGCTGCGTACACGAATACTAATTTAGGGTGTCTCAAATCTTCCATGGTTTTCAGTGAATAAGTTTCGGATGTGCAGTTTTACCGCTGGTTTCCTTCTGGTTTTTATAATAGAACCATTTGAACACTTGTCGAACCCCATACAAAGCCCTTAAAAGCCCTGTGAAAATGGCCTCCCCTCCAGCCCTACTTTAAATATCAAGGCCCATAGATGAACCTCTACAAAACCCCACAAAAGTCCTGTAAATCCTATAAACCCCAACAGCAAACCATATAAATCAACAACACAACTGTAGGCTCCTACTCCCGTCGTCAGCCCCCACCTACGCCGGAGGCGCCGGAGGGCTCACAGCGGTCTCGGCTTCGAGGCGCGCGAAGAGATCCTCAGTCTGCTTTTGTTTAGGGTTTATAGGCTTCAGGGTATCTGTTTCGTCGGGTTTAGCGTTTCTGTCTTTGTTGCTGGTTGTTGTTTATTGGTTTAGCTTGGTCTAGTTTTGTACTGGAGCTTATAGAATAAAAATAGATCTGCTCCTGTATCCCTTCAAGCGGATCTGTCTAGCTCCTTTCTGCCCCTGGTCTTGGGTTCGAGGTTTGAGAAACCATAAACCTGGTTGAGGGACTTAGGGCGGGGAGGGTTTGTTGAAGACATAACGCTTCAGGAAGTTTACGGCTTCAGAATCTCTCTAAATTAGGGTCCCTGTTTAGGTCCCCAATATTATTCGGCACCCTTATAAAAAGGACCCTAAAAGGGACCTTAATATATTATAGAGTCGACGGATCTATTGGGGCTTGCTTCAAGGCATGGGGATGGCGGTTAAGGGCTTCAAGGCTTCCGCGTTTGAAGGTTGAGGGTTTAGGGCTTTGGGGGTTTGGGAACGGTTAACGTTTAGGGTTTAGCGTTTAAGGTTTAGGGTGTGGGGGTTGGGGACCGGTTAAGGTCTAGGGTTTAGGGTTTGGGGGCTTGGGGGTTTGGGGGTTTAGGAGTCCCAAACACTTCAAGGGTTCGGGGCTCATGATGCGTGTATTGCATATGTTGCCTCCTGCGTTGCTCGTAGGGCATGGCATTTGGATAGTTGTCTATCTTTTTATGTACATACGCACATATATGTGTATTATATGTATGCTTATACATATACACACATGCATATACATATATGCATATAAACATGTGGCGGACAGACTGAATATGAGAAGTTGAGTCCTTAGGCTGCCTTCCCCAAATACGATGTACTGGTTAGGGGCTTTGAGTTCGGGCTTCAGCCACCGGGTGGGCTGTGTTTGTCAGGATTATATTTCACGATTGTGCTCGGGTTCGGGCCTCTACAGCAAGGCGGATATGACAGGGCCCAGGCCCTAAAGCCTAATACTTCAATCCCAAACCCGAAAACTCTTAACCCTAGACCCTAAACCACTCTAAACCACTTTCCATACCCCTAAACCCTAAACCCCTAAAAACACCCAGGCGCCGCGATCCATCGCATGAAGTCCTTGAAGCTCAGCGGAGCGCTGCCGTGAAGCTCAGCGAATTTCGCCTCTGCTCGGCATCTTTCTGCTGTCTTATAATAGGGTTTTTTGGTTTTAAGTGTCTTAGGGTTTAGGGTTTAGGCCAGTTTAGGGTTTAGGATGTAGGGTTTTGGGTTTAGGAGTCTCAGGGCTCAGGGTTTAGTTAGGGTTTAGAAAGTATACGGTTTGACATCGCTTAACATGGATTAACATAGTGGAATAACTATGGTTTCATATGGTTTCACTTAGCTGAATAAGTAAGTATAGTTTAACATAGCTTAATGGCTTGGGATTTGGAGGACTGGGGTCTGGGAGCCTCCAAGCCGCCACCACGATGACCACCCTGACTAGTACGACAACCCGACAGGAAGAAGAGAACGATTTAGGGTTTTATAGGGTTTAGGGTTTTAGGGTTTAGGGTTCTGCACGCAACACCGCCACCTCCCCGTACCCAACACTACCTTTGCCCTAAGAAAACTGAGGCCTTCAACGATGCAAAACCATGAACCTTCTCATTACTCAAAGTACTACAAACCGCCGAAAAGGCAGCCACAGGACCAAGTAAAACGTCAATTACCACCTGAGGTACTCCAGGTCCTGGTCTTCTCTGCTAACTTAAACTCCTCACATGAAGGAAAGAAGACCCTAAACCTGGAGCATCAAGAAGACGAGGGGCAAGCCACCCGAAACCGAAACTCCAAGCCCTAAGCCCTGGACCAAAAACCCTAACCCAGCCTCGATAACAGCGCCATCGGTTTCAATCCTGAGAGCTCTGTTGGAAACCGTGCAAAACCTCGTAAGACCCATGTAAAGCCCAATTAAATTTGAGGGGTCTAAGATGGACGATTGAGGCTTCAAAGGTTCATGGTTTAGGCTCGCATTCAGGGTTGGCATTTCATCGTTTAGGGTTTAGATTGGCTTTAAAACTTTAGAGATTAGGATTATCCCTTGCTTTAGGAAGCTTTCCACGTTGCTTATTTTAAGCCTTAAACAAGGAAGCTTCCTGAATCCTGGTTTAACTGGTGAAGGCAGTTGGCCTGTTCATAGATCTCGGTCCCCCTGGCCGCCGGATTAAACAGTGCCGCTGGAGTATTTTGGGGTACAGAGTTCAGGGTGGCCCCAAGGCCCAAGATGATTACTGTAGGGTTTCGGGTTCAGGTAAGTTCCCTTCCGGAAGTCTATGGAAGTACTTATCAGGCCTGTGCTTCGCGAGCTCAAGGCTTGCAGAGGTAAAGGCGCCGGGATTCATTATCATGAGTCATGGCCTTAAAGCCTTATAATCCCTACAGCCTATGTATGGCCTATAAACCCTACGTCCTAAAACCGTATTGCGGTAAACCTTGGTTTGTGGAAAGTCTACTCTTCGGCTTAAGGGATGGGGCTACTCCCATCGTGCACTTCGGAGTGGAGACTCGCGTTCCGAGGTTTCTTAACCCCATGTCAGATTTCAGAGGATGCCAAGCTCACTCAAGGAATCTTAAGGGTCTTTGGTTTGTGGTTTAAACCATCCACTGCACGAGCTCTAGGAAACAACAACTTAGAAGCCCAAACCTGAGGGATGTTCTGGTTATGGTTCAGTTCTAGGTGTTCGAGGTTTTTTCCCGAAAAACCTAGAACCTGAACCGGTTCTAGGTTTTTAAGGAAAAAAACCCCAAAACCCTAGAACCTGATCCGTAACCAGAACATCCCACAAGTTTCTGCGGTTTAGGGATTAGGGCGTGTAGTGCTACAGCTTGCCTCCGCAGGGTTTACGGTGCGCAACTTCCGAATGCCATCGAAAACAGATGGTTTGGGACGCAAGCCCCATTGCACGACGCCTGCTGAGGCCATACATACTTGAAGCCTTGTATCATCGCAGTTGACCCCCTCAAAACTCAGAGAGTCGCTTCTTTCGGCAAATGTGAACTTGCGAACCTGCGGCTGAAGTCGTCCAGCCCCAAAGTCATGGCACCGGCAAGTTTGGAAAGCTGCCCGTGAGACTTTAGCAAATGCAGACGATGCTCGAGCCGAGTGTGCCGATAGCTCCAGAGCCGAGGTACTCGTGCCAGCAGCTGTGCAGCAGCTTCTCCATTGAAGAACTCTTGTAGCAAATTATGCTTCAATCTCATGTTTGTGCCAATGCTGTAGCCAAGCACGTGCGGAAACTTTGCAATCATGTTGGCAATCTGCGGCTGCCTCAGGCCCAACCCTTCGATCCACTCTACTTTAGGATTCAGATTCGCCTCAATGCTCAAGCCGAGCACTTGCGGACGCGTTGCGATCACTTTGGCAACCTGCGGCTGGCTCAGGCCCAGCCCCTCGATCCATGCGACCGTCGGCTTCAGATTCGCCTCAATGCTCAAGCCGAGCACTTGCGGACGTGTTGCGATCACCTTGGCAACCTGCAGCTGGCTCAGGCCCAGCCCCTCGATCCATGCGACTGTTGGCTTCAGATTCGCCTCAATGCTCAAGTCGAGCACTTGCGGCCACTTTGCCATCACCTTGGCAACCTGCGGCTGGCTCAGGCCCAGCCCCTTGATCCATGCGACTGTTGGCTTCAGATTCGCCTCAATGCTCAAGCCGAGCACTTGCGGACGTGTTGCGATCACCTTGGCAACCTGCAGCTGGCTCAGGCCCAGNNAGTCCGTTGATCCACTCGACTGTTGGTGTGAGATTTGCCTGAATGCTCAAGCCGAGCACTCGCGGACACTTTGCGATCACCATGGCAACCTGCAGCTGGCTGAGGCCCAGCCCCTTGATCCACTCGACTGTTGGCTTCAGATTTGCCTCAATGCTCAAGCCGAGCACTTGCGGAAACGTTGCGATCATCTTGGCAACCTGTGGCTGGCTCAGGCCCAGCCCCTTGATCCATGCGACTGTTGGCTTCACATTCGCCTCAATGCTCAAGCCGAGCACTTGTGGACACGTGGCAATCACTTTGGCAACCTGCAGCTGGCTCAGGCCCAGCCCCTGGATCCACTCGACCGTTGGCTTCAGGTTTGCCTCAATGCTCAAGCCGAGCACTTGCGGAAACGTTGCGATCATCTTGGCAACCTGCGGCTGGCTCAGGCCCACCCCCTTAGTCCATTCGACTGTTGGCTTCAGATTCGCCTCAATGCTCAAGCCGAGCACTTGCGGACACGTCGCAATCACTTTGGCAACCTGCGGCTGGCTCAGGCCCATCCCCTTGATCCATGCGACTGTTGGCTTCAGATTCGCCTCAATGCTCAAGCCGAGCACTTGCGGACGTGTTGCGATCACCTTGGCAACCTGCAGCTGGCTCAGGCCCAGTCCGTTGATCCACTCGACTGTTGGCTTGAGATTTGCCTGAATGCTCAAGCCCAGCACTGCAGGACACCGGTCAATCGACTTGGCAACCTGCTCTGCAGATAGGCGCATTTCCGTCCGGAGAAACTCTCGAACGTCTAGCCCGTTGTTGTCAGACTTGCCCACCAATCCTGCATCCACTGCAAAGGATCTTGCGCGCTTGTCAAGTGGCATGTGGCCACATGCCTCTAGTCGCGAAACGAGGCCAGGGACCAGCTGATGCCGACAGCACAAAAGCAGAGAATCCAGAACTTGCTGCAGAGTCTTGCGGAGGGAGAGCGCATGCCCGGCCTGCCAGCAATCGACCAGCACTTGCACAGACCCATCCTTCCACTGTCGCTCCTTGTGCGCGATTCGAACCACGACAGATCCGGCAGGAGCGAATCGCAGAAGGGCACTTGTCTTGCGAATGTCTGTAGCCAAGCCTGGTGGCTCCATGTGACGGTAATGGCCATCGTATTCGATGAACAGTGCAGCACTAGTTGCTTTCAGCACACCATGCGCTGCGAAATCTGGGCAAAGTCTACTTGAACCCCACTCCTTGCATTTCTTAACCGGGAAATCTCTGAAAGCCATGGCAATGGGCTCACCCGGCATGAGCAGCACTGCCAGCTGCGAGAGGAGCTCTACCTCAGCCCTACTTCCAAAGACCTTCCGAGGCTGGCCCTTCAGCCACCAGGCTGGCGGAGTCAACTCCGTCGAAGCTGGTCGGATAGGGAAGCTGGGATTCACACAAGGGAGGCGTATCAGGCCGCCACGACGAAGGCATCGTCTCCAGGACGAACGCTGCATTTTCGATGTCGGCTCACGTCATGACAGCAAGCTACTCAAGCTATCTGACAGCTATCTGCTCGGCTGCGCGAGGACACAGAGATGTATGCTTGTACAAGTATGCTCTTATATACTCCGCATGAATTGGAAAACTGTGTCTGGTGTGAGTTTCGGATTTGGGGCTTTGGCCAATCTGACCCCCAGCAGCCCCAAAACTGCATCCAAGAACTCCTTGTTATACTGTAGTTAAAGCCGAAACCCGAACTCACGAACTCGATATAATTCAATCACTTTGAAGAACAATCCCCCCATTAAGCGGTTTCCGACATTCTTTTGGTGGCATTGGCTTTGGGGCTACATTCGGTGTGCGAGCCTCAGACTTCAGACTTTCAAGCCCCAGCTCCGAACCCTGGAGTCGTAAGAACGTACCCCGGAAAGCCTCGACCCCTCATGAAAAATCCATCTGATCCCTTAAGGCCACAGTCTCTGCTTGCCAAAACCATCCAAAATTCGAGAACTGCAAGCCTCAAAAATTTACAACCCTACGTCTCTGAATCCAGGCCGAAGGGCCCAATAGATGGAAGCAGAACATCGTGGAGCTCCTGCACCCGTCTGTTGCGTCTCAAGCCTGAAACCCGAATCCTAAAGCTCGCTAAACCGTAAAGCTTAAACCGTAAACCCCAAACCCTCAAGCCCTGCAGCTCTACTGAACCCCCTGAGCCTGAACCCGGAACCGACGTCCTTGAGGGCTCCGATCCAAAGAGTCCCAGGGCCACCACTAAAGAACGGCTGAAAGCACGGTTTAAGAGCCATCAGGTTTCAGGTTTGGGAATTTAAGCGTAAAGCTAGCGGTATCAAAAGCACGTCGCCTTGTCCACAAACAGTTCCTGACAGTTCTGTCAGCTCCGAAATCTTGAGCATAAAATCACTCCTGCTCAGACCTACATCTTGCATCCTGTGGCCTAGTTGCTGACTGCCATGGCCCAAGCGAGTTTAAGCTTGTAGCTCTTCTACCTATGGCATGATTAGCTCAGAAGTGCTAAAAAGACATCAAAACCTTTAGCTGTCGCATCGCTTAAAAGCTAAGCCCGAAAATGCTTCAGAAAGCGTTTGGGGTGTTAGGTGGTTGAAGGGTTCCTCTAAGGGCTAGTATTCCGTTCTATAATGCTCTATTATTAATGTTTCATAAAACAAGGTTACTACAAGGGGACCCCTGCTAGGCCTTTCAGGGTGGATGTAGGTGTTCTCGGCGACGGTCTGGGGTTTAGGGGGATCTGGCTTGGCAGTTTAGGGGTTGGTGGTGCTGCACTTTTCTTGAGCGTCCTTAGAACCAACATGATAGTACTGTCTTGAATGATCCCTCGGGGTAGTATTGCATCACAAAACAAGCTATACTTGCTGAGATACTTGCTGAGAACACTACAGTTTAAGGAGTTTAAGGCTTACAATCCACAAGTCTGCCCCATCTACCTGGCCCCTACTGCTTGCCAGCTCGCCAGAACCATCGACGGCCCTGAGCCCTGTGCAGCCGTAGAGAACCGCAAAGCCCGAGCATGCGTCACACACACCCCAATACAGCCACCTACCAGACTTGGGTTCACCGACCGAAGATAAAAAGCAGACTTCTACACCAAGAACCTTTCTAACAGGCAAAGCCTTCACACCCCCTGAACCTGTCAAACCCCCCTGCGACCCCCAAATCAAAACCTGTACACCAATTCTAGACAGGGTCAAACCCTCGGACCTGGATTGGCAGCCCACTTCGCCCCCCTGACGCAGCTTCGAAACTCGCGACCAGCTGCGCTAAGCCTTTCAGCAACCCAGCGCATGTGGGGGTAGGGTGGCAGGCTTCTTGGACATGCGCATAGGCTTTGAAAGGCTCTTAGAAGGGATGGGCTTTGGAGCGGGGCCACGAAATCACGGGTGCGTCACTAGGGTCCACGTTAGAGTCCGTCATGAATTTCATGTGCGATAAGAATCTAATCATGTGTGGCAGTGTCTTGCTTTCTGATAGGCTACCACAAGCTACATACAAGAATGGGCTCTGGAGGTTTGCTACGGGCCACCTCAGATTCCTCTGCCTGGGGCGATTGGTCGTGTTGCTCTTGTGCCTCGGGCGTTCACCAAGGCGTGTTTCGGATTGGTCCTTACGGTGAGCTCCGGTTCCTGCTCAGGATTTAGGCTTTGCCTCGGGCCTGGATATCGGGCAAATGAGGGGGAATTCGTTCTGTGGCAATTTAGGCCGGCCTGGACCACCGGCGCCCATGATAGAGGCGGCAAGGGAGGCCGGCTCCTGTGAGATGTTTTATTGTGTTCTGAGTGTTGTTCAGGGTTTCGGGGTTGTGATCTGGACACATGAATACAAAAAACAAACAAAGAACAAAGAAACAAATTCAACATACGTATGGGTGTGTATGTATATAACGCACACAGAGAGTGTGCGTATGTTTGTGTGTCTGCCGGCACCTTCCAGCAAAGCCTATGCTGTATTCGGCTTCGAAAAGTGTGGCAGGTACGGCGCCGACACCTTGAATACTCAACGCAAGACGGATTCGAAACAGATACCCAGAAGGCTGAAGTCAAGCAAAGCCCTGTGAAGTCTCTCAAGACTTCAAGACTCATTCAACCAGGCACATGTCAATTCATGTCAATCCAAAGCCGTCGACATGCTGATGACTGGGCATGACTGCACGCGATGCAGTGGCTGACACAACAGCTAAATGCCAATAGCTTCGGTTCCGTGTGCTTGGATGCGCGGCTCGAAACAAAGCTGCCGCAAAGCGCTTGCAAGCGCTACATGTCTGTTTTTGCGCATGCAAGTCCTATCCTGCATGCTGTGCTGCCCATCAACGCTGCCATCTCCAATGGTTTGGGGCGTACTGTAAGCGTCTACACAAGGTAAAGAAGCATTACCCCCCCCCCCCCTCGCCCCCACTCCTCCATGAGGCTTGGCCACCAGCCCAAGATGGTGGGGGTGCCATAGACATGCCTCAGGTGCGTGGTGTGTTTGCTTCGGGGCTCAGGCTTTTGGTTGGATCCTAGCTCTTCCATCGAGTGCACTGACTTACCAGACGGTGAGGGTGAGGCCTCCTTAGTACAAACGAGATCACACGGAGGATCAAGTTTCTCTAATCTGGCAACGTACATGCAAATGAAACACTAGACCCTAAACCCTGAACACCAAACTGCATGACGTGCATTAATAGCAGTTCCGGCCAAGCGGCTCTAGGAAAGACTGCAGTGTCAAGTTCGTTTCCGACTGCAGCGAGCGACGGACCTGTGGTCGGGCTCGTTGTTGATGGTTCAGGGTGTCCGGCTTTTAGGTTCAAGGTTGAGATGGTTCAGGATTCCGGGGGTCGGGGCTTTGAGTTGGGTTTGAGGTTTAGTGCTGTTGGCTTTGTAGGGCTTATAAGCTGAGGGCCAGAATGACATCACTCAACATATGCCTACTGTTGAGTAAGGAACAGAACATGACATGACTGGACAGCATGATGGTACCGATAGCAGCAACAAATCGCTACGGAAGGCACGCTTATCACGCACAAGAAAAGTCACACGAGAGTTCATATGGTCCCACAGAGCTTTGTCAACGGTAGAAACCCTGAATCCTGAAACGTAAACTAGGTCCTACTAAATGATGTCTACATTCCAGGACCCTCCTTGCACCCTCAAACATGGGTATATGCTCCCAAATGAAGGGTATTTTAGGATCTGAAAGACTTAAAGGATAGATGGAGGGTCGAGGTTGGGTCCCACATTTTCTGACACTGTCGTGGGAGCTTCAGGGTTCGAGGTGCTCTGTCGGCGGTACCTGGATTTAGGGCCTCAGGGTTTCGGCACTCACACTCGGACGATCCAGGCGAGGCATGTGGTCTTGGGTCGGCTGAGGTGAGACGAAATTTGGGTTTGGGGGGGGTTTTGGGTTTCGGGGTCTGAAAGTCAAGCTCGCGGCTTTGTGTACTGTTGCCAAGATACTGCTTCTGCTGGGGCCAAAGGCACGGCGGCTCACACGGAGGTCAGGTGGACAAGGTCCATCCTAGTGCAGGTCTGCCCTCGAGCTCACGACAAAATTATGTTGTTGTTTTGTTTACCCCTGTGTTTTTGCTTTGATCATTTATCCGCATGTAGTGCTTAAAGTGGCCTTTCTACATAAGTTGTTGGATTACGGTGTATCATCTCAACCGGGTGAGTACAACCGGTACACACCGGTCCCATAAAGCCAAGCACTCTCTGAACTATAGAGATATCCTGGATATGATTTGAAGTACGTTATTTGCTTAATTAAAGGGGTATCGGGATCTCTGGCTTTCTGCAAGTGTAATATCCCAGCATCTCAGTTAATCGAAGCAAATTTCGCACAACTTCACCAAGCTTCTTTCCATCCAGAGGAGAGAAGTCGCTGAAGATGTCCTTGACACAGCACGCTCCCCAAACCCTGAGCTGATTGAAGAATCACAGGTTTAATTCTGAAAGAATACTGAACAATAAGCTGGTAAGTCTCTGCGCCCTCGCCCGTCTGCCAAGCGCTCACTTGCAGAGTGTAGAAGTCTCTGAGGAGCTTCCGGTTTAAGTTGAAAAGAAGACCCCAACAAGTCTCACACAATTACTTCTTGAGCGCAAACCTATCGACAAGGGCGGCTTAGCGTAGGTTTCAACAGCTTAAGTGTTTGCTTGTCTTTGGATGTTCCGCTGTGTTGGCGACCATTCATTTCCCCCAAGTCACGCGACGGAACTTGCAAGCACTTCGAGTTTTCAATCTGCAAACCTCAGAAGCCCTCGTCCTCTCAGCCGTAATCTCCGAGACTCTATCAAACATGGCTTCGGGCTTCGGGTCTATAACTGATAATTAAACTCTCAACCCTACACCGTGCTACCTCAATCCTGACACCGGTCCCAAGAAGCGCATGTAACATGGGCGGTCCGAATAGTTACGAATGATCTATGCAGTAATTAATCCCTTAGAGCCTTATAGCCCCTATATACTTACGGTATAGATAGATAGATTATACCGCAAAACCCCC